TGACAACTCAAAATTGTAAGCTGACTCCATACTCCACATGCCAAGGGATTTGCTTTTAGTTGACTTGTAGTAATAAAAGTAATACCGTACATTAATGTGTGTACCTTTTCTTTCTTTCTAAGAGCTCAAAGGAATTTAACTTACTTTAGCCATAATATTTCTTTCTAAAAGGGGAGACTGAGGTACAGTGTGCATGCAGAGTGAGCGAAAGCATGCTGTTGGGCAGGAAATATAACACAAGAAAGAAAAATAAAACACCAGCCACCAGAGCTTTCTCTCTCACTGGACACTGCAACAATGTAAATGGACTTGATTTGCTTCATGAAGGCCTTTCCCTGGTTGTGGTTAAGAGGCTGGATGCGTGTGTTGGATTCTGCTTGAATTCTATCAACTTAAATTCTCCTCTTTCTCAGTTAATACTGGGTCTTCAGAAAAGTCATGAAGTCATGATGCATGTTTGCAACAGATGGCACTGGTTCATATATGGAAATACTAGAATCATTCGCATCTATATTATTGCTATGTCATTTGACAGCTGACAGTTTTAGCTTCATTCTAAAAAAAAAGTGATTTGGTTGAGTTTTGGAGATTTTACAACAAGTTGAAGATGGAAGACCAAACTTCATTTTTTTGCCATATTTTACTGTTTTACTTCCCTAAAGGGAAGAATGCACGTCAAGCTTGTGAAAAGTTGCATAAAGTTTATGGTGACAATGCTCTACAAGAATGTCAGTGCCAACGATTGTTTACGAAATTCCATGCTGGTGATTTTTATCTCAACGACGCTCCTCGGTCAGGGAGGCCCACTGAGGTTGATGACGACAAAATAAAGGCATTGATCAAGTCAAACCCATGTTATACGACACGAGAGATTGCAGAAATATTGAATATCCATCATTCAAGCGTTCACGACCACCTGAAGAAGCTGGGATATGTAAGCAAGCTCGATATTTGGGTTCTGCATGAACTCAAAGAAGTTTATTTGACGGCGCGTATAAACATCTGCAATATGCTCATTAAATGTAAGGAAACGATCCTCTTTTGAAGGGACTGATAACTGCTGATGAGAAGTGGATTGTTTACAACAACGTGGTGCTCAAACGTTCTTGGTTCCGACGTGATGATTCACCTCAAACATCGAAAGCGGACATTCATCAGAGGAAGGTTATGCTCTCAGTGTGGTGGGATTTTAAAGGTGTGTTTTTCAAGCTTCTACCAAGGAACCAAACAATTTGAATGTGTACTGTCAGCAATTGGACAGTTTGAATGAATCCATCATCCAGAAACATCCAGAGCTTGTTAATTGTAAAGGAGTTGTGTTCCATCACGACAACGCGAGACCACACACAAGTTTGATCACCCGTCAAAAATTATTGGAGCTTGGATGGGATGTGTTGCCACACCCATAATACTC